TGATTGGCCGAGCGGGATGCAGGTCCCGGGAGGGCGGGGCCGGCGAGGAGGTGCGAGGTGGAGGCGGCGCGGATGCCACCGCTGGGCGAGCTCGCCGCGCGCCGGCCCGAGCCGGGCCGGGGGCTGGCTCCCGTGAGAAGCTCGGCACCGGGCTGGGCCACTCACCCCACCCCACTCCTGCCTACCGCTCGCCTCGCTCCCCGCTCCAGGACGCCCCCTGCCGACCGCGGGGTCCAGATGAGCGCCGCTCCTCCGTGTGTGGCCCCGGGCAGCCGGCGCCGCGGCGGCCGGGCGGCGTCCCTCGGAGCTGGGATGGCGAGGGCGGAGGTGCCGCGGGAGCGCTGCGGCCGGGCGGCGGGTGGGTCAGCAGGGCGCAGGGGGTCCTGCCGGCGCCCCACCCAGGACCCTAAGGGTACCCGGGCTGGGATGTCGCAGCGGGGAGGCTGGGGACGCTCCTCCAGGGAGCAGCCGGGGAAGGAGAGGGTGAGAGGCGAGGGTGTGGGCACAGCGCTGGCAGCGGCAGCATTTCCCAGGAGCCTGCAGCCCCGAGGCCGCGCGCCAGCCGGCTCAGCCTGCCTGGCGGGTTCCCCTCTCCCTTCTCTCTGCACCCCTCGCACCTCCCTGGGCCTCCGTAGCTCCCACTCGGCCCCTGGCGGCTGCGGGTTTGAATCCCACTCCCATCACCTGCTCAGCTCCAGCCCAGAGCCTGTTCACGTGGCCACCTGAGAGACTCGGGCACGAGTATTCGGAAGGTCAGATCTGGTGGGACAAGGGGTCAGAGAGGAAGAGAAGGGCTCTGCTGCAGGAGCAGCGGGGGGACGGCCAGGCTGGCTTCCGCACCACGGGCGGTGGCTCTGGGCGCATCGGGCGGGTGCCTGCGGTCGCCAGTGCCCGGGACGAGGCGCGCAGGTCTCACTCGGCAGGGTCGCTGGCCCTGAGCGTTTTCTGCCTTCGTTCCAGCGGGCTCAGGGCAAACGGTGTGGGGGTACCCGCCTTCCGCCTGCTGCATCCTGCACACGCAGTGACAGAGGCTCTTTAGCTTCATAGCATTTTAGTCGCTGGCAGCAGGGACAGATCTTTCCGGGACGAGAATGGAGAGGAGCATCTTCCTCCCGCGATCCAGGGCCCTGCTGTAGTCACAGCGATTTGGATGCCCCACAAGGAAGAGCTTTCTTTTCTCTGTGTGATTGTTAAGTGATTCAGGATTTTTTTCTCTCTCTCTCTCTCTCCCCCCGCTCTCTCCTTTTTCTGTTCCTCTCCCCTTCCTCGTTCTCCTGCTCTCCCCTACCTCTTTCAAAAACCCTAAGATTCTCTCTCTTTTTCTCTCTGTTCAAATTTTCCTATTGCCCCTCTCCTTTCGCGTTCCCTGAATTTAGAAAAGCAGTTGACAAAAAGCCTAACAGACAATTAGCGTCGCTTCTCGATCAGTTAAAAAAAGGCACCAGTATACTTTGAAAACGGGAACTATCTGTCCTTTGCAGACACCACCAGAAAAACAAATTGTACCCGCGCAATCCTTTTAAATACTTTGACCTCCAACCTCATCCCACTCCCTTGCTTTTTAACTTTTCCTTTGAGAGATGTGATCGTGCAGCACCTCCGTGCCTCAAAGAAATCGCTTTTTTTTTCCTGTGTGAAACCCATCCCTTTATCTTACATATCCGCCTCCCTCCGAAACTACCCCCTCCCCTCCCACCTCCAAAGATTTCTGAACCTCGGTGTCTCTCACTCCTGGCAATTAAGCAGCAGATCCCAGCATTCTAGTCGGTGGCATCTCTCTCCTTACCGACCAAGACTCCATTAAAACAGATCAATTTGACCAGACGTTGGAGGCATCAGAAAATCGGCTTCCAGGCAGAGCAGCTAAATTCTTTAAGGAAACGGAATGCCCATTAGGTAGAGCTGCCAACCGATACTGCAAAAACAAGGAATTAGCGATGTCTTTTGCTGCAGCCTTTCAGCAGAGCCGGCAACAAGAATATAAGCTTAATGTAGATCGAGGCTTAACAACTCCACAGAACAGAGTGAGAATGTATCATTTTCCATAGCAAGTCTGGTGTGAAAACTAATCAGGCTGATGAAAATAAGTCATGCTTGAAACTAAAGGCAAAGTCCTTAAAAGTGTTTATGCAGTAATTATGATAATGAAACAAGACCTGCTAGGATTTTAGGGCTTGGCCATATAAGTAGAATTTTACAGAAGCTCTTAGCAGAGGAAAAATGTTATTGACTTCCCTGTTGAGTAAATTTTTGGCATACTTTCTAATAATGTGTACTCTTCCTAAGACATTTTGCCTAAAGTAACTTAAAACTCCAAAGGAGTTAATTACTGATTGTGATTGGTTAACAAATGCAGTTGCTTCCACAGAGATTCTTTGAATTATTAAACAGTTTGAAGCAAAGCCTTTCCAACAGGAATGCTGTAATTTTGTTCCATGCACTATGTACTTAGTGCTATAGTGCCACCAAGAAACCAATTCTGAAACTGGCAAACACCACCAAGTGGCAGAAGAACATCACTCACTGAGCAGAGAATTGTATTATTGCATATGTAAATAAAAATATACACACTATTTAGACTCATCATTAGGTACCCAGGAAGTAGGCAGGCATTAGATTTTATTGCAATGAAGACTGGATTTGTGATTGAATTAGTGCATCTACTTTCCCCCAACAGAGTTAAATCAGTTTACTTATTAGAATTAAATTTAAAACCAGGTCTTAGAAATGTACTGTGCATTGTGTACTATATGACTTCTAGTAATAAGATGCAATCATACCATGCATTTGCAAAATTCTTCTTTTAAAATATGACAATATTTGTTTTCAATATGCCAGAGCTAGAACAGTTTATTTGTGGCATACACACTCAATTGACGCAGAAGGGGATAGTCAAGTTGTCATATTTTTAATTAGAAATAGCACAGAGATTCTTTTTCAGAAAATGTATTTTTTCACATGGAAAGGACATCGTTCTGAAGTGTGAGATTACTCAGAGCTTAATGAAGGGGAAGGGAAAAGGTATTCTAGAACAAGAATATTTAAGATAAATAAATAGACCTGGGAAAATAAGACAATGTGCCAGTTAGAACTCATCTCTTTCCTGATCTCATACTTTCCCACTGCTTTAATAAAGGTAAGATATATAGTATGCTTCTTCTATGTCAGACATTGTACCATGTGGGAAAGAACATATATTTTTATTTACTCCCTATAACACCCCTATGAGAGAAAGGATATCATGATCCCATTTTATAGAAAAGGAAAATGGCTTTTAAAGCATCAAGCAACTTGCCCCACATAACAAATCTAGTCAGTAGCACAGCTGGAATTCAGTGAAATTCTGTCTGACTTCAGATCACAAGACATAAGTCACCATTTTCTGCTGTATAGCGGCCTGTTAGCTTGTGAGAAGGGAAACTAACTGGGAACATATCAGCTCTATCCATGAAGCCTCATTGTCTGCACCCTTTCAGAGAATCAGTAAGACCAAAGCTCATTAAATCTCAACCTTGAGCAATGAGATCTAATAGTCTCTATACTTGGTTGTTCGCAATAATTACTTGAGAGGCTGTTTTGTTTTGTTTTGTTTTAATAAGCAAGTGCCCAAAAAGCAAATGCAACAAAACCCAAAATAAATTAAGCTAAAATCTTCAGCAGAGCAAAAGTCGTAATCAAAAGAGTAAATAGGCAACCTACAGAATGGGAGAAAATATATGCAAACTGTACATCCAACAAAGGATGAAGATACAGCATCTACAAGGAAATAAACCAAATCAGCAAGAGAAAAACCATATAAAAAGTGGGAAAACAACATGAAAAGACATCTCTCAAAAGAAGATATACAAATAGCCAACAAACATGAAAACATACTCAACATTACTAATCATCAAGGAAATGCAAACTAAAACCACAATGAAATACCATTTTACATCAGTTAGAAAGACCATTATTAAAAAAAACAATAGATGTTGGCATAGATGTGGTTAAAAGGGAACATTTATACACTGTTGGCGGGAATGTAATTCAGTAAAACCTCTATGAAAAATACTATGATGATTTCTCAAAAAACTAAAAGTAGATCTACTACTCAATCCAGAATCCCACTACTGGTTACCTGCTTAAAGAAAAAGGGGTCATTATACAAAGAAGACACTGTATGTGTATTTTTATTACAAGACAATTCACAATTGCAAAGATGCAGAATCAACCTAAATGTCCATCAGCTGATCAGTGGATGAAGAAAATGTGACACACACACACACAAATACACACACACACACACACACACACACACACACACACACACGCACATGCACACACTGAGAAATACTATTCAGCAATAAAAAAGAATGGAATCATGTCTTTTGCAGCAAGTTGGATGGAGTTGAGACCATTATCCTAAGTGCAGTAACGCAAGAATGGAAGATCATATACCACATGTTCTCATTTATAAGTGGAAGCTAAGCTAGAGGTCCACAAAGGCATATAGAATGGTATAATGGACATTTTTTAGATTGAGGAAGAGGGTGCAGGAAAGAGATTGAGGGGTGAAAATTTGCTTATTGGGTACAATGTGCATAGTGGAGGTGATAGGTACATTTAAAGCTCAGACTTCTTCACCACTATGCAATACTTCCATGCAACCAATAACCACTTATACCCCTAAAGTCATTGACATTAAAAAAAAAAAAATAGGCACATCTCAAGTCCCACTAGTAGGGATTGAGATTCTGAAAGTCTGGAGTTGGGCCCTCAGATTTATATTTTGGTATTCATCTTTATTTGAGATCGGAAGTTCC